AAAAAAATATCCCTACAAGGTTACAACTTCTCTGGCCCAGCAGAGAAAAGACACATTCTTGCAGAATTAAAGCCTTCCTGGCTTTTCAGATAAGGAAGGACCTGCAGAGCCTCTCCTCTCCCTCTCTAGGAGACCAAACATTGTTGCAGAGCCTCTCCTTTCCCAAGGCTCCTCTCTTACCATCAGTTTCAAAGTCCAACTTATTTCTGTTACCCCAAGTCACCTGTAACAGTTTTCACATGTACATTTAAGTAACATTACATTCTTCAATTTGTGCAGTTATTCTCACCATCCTGAGTGGCTCCTCTCCATTAATATAAACTTACTGCTTTCTAAGTTAGGGATCTCTGGTGGCATAGTCTGTAGCCAGCTACACTGCTAACACAAAGGCCACACATCTCTGGATATTTGAATTCATGTACATAGGGTCAATATGAATTGCAAGCAACTCAAAGGTACATAACAGCAATGTTACTTGGTATGTGTCTTAAAGTTGGACAATGAATAAGGATAGCAGAAGAAGGATTGATGCTTTTGAGTGTGGTGTTGGAGCCACTGAATATCTCATGGACAGCTAAAACAAGCATATGTCTTGAAGAAGGAATAGCCAGGGTGCACCATAGAGGCAAGAGTAATGAAACGTCGTCTCATATACTTTGGGTGTGTTGCTAGGAAGGGTCAGTCATGCTTGAAAAGGTGGAAAAGATCTTCCTCTCCCTTGATAAGCCTCCTCTTTCCCAAGCACAATGGCCTTTTCTGGGGACTGGCACCTCCTGATAACATGTTCAAAGTATGTGAGGTGAAATCTTGTCACATTACCTCTAGGGAGCACTCCATTTGTACTGTTCTTTTGATAGTCCAAAATGTATTCAGTGTTCCTTGTCAGTGCCACAATTTAAAAGCATCAATTCCTACTTTTTATCTTCCTTTATAATTGTCCAACTTTCCCAAGTGTATGAAGTAATTGAAAAAGTTATCATGCTTAGAAAGGTGGAGAGTCAGCAAATGATAGGACCACCTGGATGATATGTACTGGCACAATGCCTGTATCAATGGACTCAAGTGTATCAAAGATGATGAGGATGGTGCACAATGGGGCAATGTTTCAATCCATTGTTTGTAGAGTTGCTATGAGTTGTAGTTAACTCACAGGCACCTAACAACAATAATAGTGGCTCCCAGGGAAAGAGATGGGCATTCACCTCCCTTGGAATAACAGCCTTGGAAATGGCTGGAGAATCAGCTGTGAGTCCGCAGAATGAATTGAGCTCCCTGAATTAATTATCCCAGTTTTCTAATGGCTGTTGTCCATTTGATCTCCTATAGACGGAACTTTAAAAAGCACACGGCAGAAGTTTCTCTACCTGTAAATTGTGTATACTGCACTGAAGCAGATGAGGGAGAGAATAATTTAAAAGTGATGTATGATAGGGTATTATGGTTATCACAAGAGTCC